CAGAGCATGTTGCAGCCAAGAATAAAAAGAGACACACCCAAACATACACTTGCAGAATACACATATTTGGCTGGAAGATGACATTGGTTGTGTTAAAGCAAACTAAAAATATACAATTTACGTCCAAACCTTCTGATTTCTACAAAGCTATAGAGATGTGGATAAAAATAAATGGAGGGTTTTAAAGACATTAATGCTTCTGTGAATAATATTCTAACATTTTGTGTGTGAAGCAGAGGAGAATAAGTTAAGGTTAATATTAGAAAAAAGAAAAAAAAGGTCTCACTAACAAACAGTTACACAGGTTATTGGAAATATATATATATATATATATATATATATATATTGTATTTCTGAAATTCAGTGCATATGATAGTGTCAGTTGACAGTTTCCACAAAAAGGAAAAAGGATGTAGTGGGCTTGTGTGACTTTTCATTGGCCTGGGAATTAACAAATCAGCAACTGGCAAGAACAAAAGATTTCCTGGTGAAAGAAAGAGTTTCTCCTTCCAAAATCTTTCAGTGAAAATTTTCACTTGATAGTGAACACAGACCCAAATCTACTAAGAACCTTGCTTCCCTGATGACTACAATCTTCAAAAAAATTTAAATGCAACATCAATCACCATTTTCTGCCTTCTTGAACCCTGTTACATCTTTTGTCCTTTTGTCAGTCCCCCCTATTCTCAGTTTCCTCTTTTACTTTCACTCCCTGTAACCCTCCTGCACACTAGTAATATTGTCGCCTTGGAGTGAATAGATTTTTTTTTTTAAAGTTTTAAAAATTCGGAAATTTTTTTCATTCTAATTTTTACTGAGAAGTTGTTAGTGAAATTTCCCTACTGGGAACAATAAAAGTAGCTAAAACAGACTATATGGACTGTGCTATTTGATACAACAAAAAATGAATAAAACCTTTCTCCTGGTGAAAAGATACCAAAACTGCACTGCCTGAAAATCTGATTTGATTTTCAGTAAAAAGACCATACATTGTTGGTATATTTACTTGAAGACAGATGTGATGACTAACATAGTATCAACAATGATCACCCAACAACCACATATGCCATAACAATGTCACACATAGAGTATAAAGTATTACTTCATTTTTAGCTCCTCCTTGCCTTACAAAAATAAATAATTCAAAGTTTATTTAATGTATTTAGATGATGCATCCTTGCAAGCATGATTCATTTAAATTCATAACATCTTATTTCTGACATCAGATCTCAATGGATCGATAAGTGCTCAATGGCATATAAGAGGAAGGATAACTGGTGATTCACCTTTAATCAGAGTAAGCTAAAAATGGACCAAGCAAAGAAGCAAAATTATAGTAAATATTTCCTATGCCCGCCCTTATCTTTTTAAGAGTTATTTGTGCTAAGAAAAAAGGAAAAAAGAAAAAAAAAAAGAAAAAGAATAAAAAAGGGAAATAAAATAGTAGTAGGGGTTTTGAAAGAAACGCTAAATTATAATAAGCAGGAGAATTGGGAAAGTAAGAGGAAGAAATGCTAAAATTCAATAAGCATTTAAGGGGGTTGGGAAATAGAACTAACACTGGGAGAAATCCTAAAATATAATAAGTACAAAGACTGGAATAGAATGATGGAGTGGGGAAATGACAATAAATGGAGGGAGGGGTTCTGGGAATCATAGAACGGTTAGAAGAAATGCTGAAATATAAGTGGGAGAGGGCTTGGAATAGTGGGATAGCAAGAAGAAGTACTAAAATATAAATGGGGCGGGGCTCAGAATAGTGGAATAGATGCTAAAATATGAGGGGGGATCTTGGACTAGTGGAAGGTTTAGAAGAAATGCAAAAATATAAGTGGGAGTACCTCAGAAGAGTGGGAGGGTTGGAAGTTACTAAAATATAAGTAAAGGTGTGGGAGGGGGTCTTGGAATAGTAGAAAAGTCAGAAGAAATGCTAAAATATAAGTGGTGGGAGGTGTAAGTTACTAAAACATAAATGAGAGGAATCTTGGAATAGTGGGGCAGAGGAAGAAATGCTGAAAGAAAATTGCGTATACATGTTAAGATTGCAATGCAACATCATCACAAATTTGATCAACAAACACAAAACTGAGGAAATATTCCAAAAGACACATTATGGAATTTTCCAGGATGAAACTTCTTGGGAATATTAATAATTGGGGGGCGGAGATAGAATAAGAACGTCCGGGGCAAAAATGTTTTAAAAAATTAATAGCTGGGTGTCCATTTAGAACATAATATTGAGTTCCTTATCAAAGTGATAATAGCAAATATATTGTAATATCTTTTGCACGCACCTGCCACCCCACACAACAAGTAGAGTGGATTTGTTTTTTTTTCTGAATTCAAGACAAAATTTGCTAATATACTAAGAAACAAACAAACAAAAAAATTATCTATTGATTGATTTGTTTTTTTACAGCTTATCAACCCATTATAGGTTATTTAAAGAAAGAAAATATTTTTTTTTAGATTGTAAGAATTTCTTTCAGCGATAATGATTTACTAACACAAGTCGTACTAATTAACCCATAGCTAAGGGGAGATGTGAACATACCATTCCCAAGGTTATTTTTACCTCAGTGAATATAATGAACTCAACTGAAATTGGAATTCTGCACTCCAATTTCTAAATCTGAGCTATTATCCATTAGACCACCTGCTCATCCAAGCTTACAACACCTGATATTCCTAAGTGGTTACCCCATCTAGGTACTGACTAAGCTCAATGTTGCTTTACTTCAGTGATCGTACAAGAACTAATGTTTCAATGCGATATGGGCATAAGTCAAAAATCAACTAACCAGGAATAATAAATGAAAAATAGTTGGAGAGGTGGATAGATTTGTTCCTACTTACTTGTTTTTTTTTTTTGGGGAGAAAATTCCCTATCTTTTTTCCCTCTATCACAAAGATCTAACATTTGTCCTATTAAATTAAATGTTCAAACTCCATAATTTGGGGGCTACAGGAAGTGCTTAACAGAAAGTCAAAGTGGCCGCTGACCAATTAGTTTAAATTATATTCTGTGAAAGAAACCAATAGATTTTAATTTAAAAGTTTTTTTTTTAAAATTACGTATTAAACCCATAAACTTGTTTTTCTATTAATTAAATTTACTTGACTTTATGTTGCTTGCATTTAAGAGGAATATCTTATTAAATTCTTTGTAAACAAAAATATCCCAAACTCTTTCATCAGTGGTCATTTTTGTCTGAACCCATCATACAGATGAAGAGTTAGCATTATTTACAACTGAACTGATATTCGTTGTTATTTTCACAAAGTCTTGATATTCGTCTCCTACTTTAAATAATCTCAATAATAAGATAATGTTAAAATATATATACAGAAATGTTCTCATGATTCAAACACTTGATCTGGACAAAGGCTATCACTTTGAAGGAATAAATGCAGGATAAAATTAGCTTAAAAATATGAAGAGATTTTTGTTGTTTTTAATTGAATTAGTTTTTTTTTTTTTTTTTTTTTTCAAATAATGTAAATTTGTTAAATTCATTTAAAACAACAAAAACTAAATGTCAAATTTCCTTTGAATTACTTTTGAACAAGACAAACATTGCTTTAAGCTTTTAGCATTCAACACACTCAAATCTGCACTGTAAATATCAGCTCTCAAAGTCTTACTGCTTGCTTGACTTTCTGCATTATTTGCGATGATATATATTATCAGAGAGTATAACATGGAGTGAGTTATAGCAGGTTGAACATTAAGAGCCGATATTAACGGGGAGGGTTGAATGCTAAAAGGTTAAGTTAAAAATCTATCACTTCTTTGATTTTTTTTTTTTTAATTAAAAACTAATTTTATTATTATTGGGAGATTAATTTTTTCTTTAAACATGTGGTGAATAATAGGACAGAAGTCCAACATAGTTACAAATTTACTATATTATAGCTGCCTCTCCTCAATTTATGACCAACTATTTTTTCAAGTAATAATTGTTCGTACTTCAAACAAAATAGACTTACCTTTCAGCATAAAAAGGTAGAAAATTTCAAGTTATTCCAGCATTAGCAATGATGATAAATCTCAAGTAAGATCTTATGATTTGTCTCTTCCGTGGTCAGTATTCAGCAGGGGCCAATTGGATAGAGCTTTAAGTAGAACAAAGAATAAAACTCACTTGGAAATAAGAAAGACAAATGTCAAGGTAAATTCATACAATCAATATTCTTTATAAAGAATGGTGCCCTTAATGAATTATTTCATTTAATATATTTATAGTAAAATATATATTAGCATTATCTGTCTACATAAATAACAATTTTTATGATTACTACACAAGTAAAATATATTGTCAGTAATTTTGAAATAGGTCCTTTTGCTTTAAAGAGATTTTTCAGACAACTGAACTGATTGCATTATTTATACTGCTCCCATAATTTTGGCTAATTTATTTGGATAGTGAGTGTCACAGAATAAATTTATCTGAAAATGTCATGAAAAACAGAATATATCTATTATAAAAGGGATATATTATTCTTTATTTGATCAAATTATGAACAATTATTTAGCTTCAGACCAACATTCTCATCTTTGTTGTCATTGTTCTCACAACATTCCAGCCATTGTGCCCTCTGACCTTCTTCAGGTATCTGTCAATCCAGTTTTTTGAGGAAGCTTTGAACTGAAACCTTTACACTTAACCCATTGAATTTGAATCTGTACTAACCAACTAAGGGACAGAAGTGACAATTACTTTGCAATCAAATTCATGAATGGACTAGCAAGCAGTATAATTGATAGACTTTTTTTTCTTACAGCTTATCAACCTTTTGCAGCCAGAAAATACTTTTAGATTTTAAGAATCTGTTGGAGATAATGATTTACTGAATGAAGTCCTACTAATTAATCCATAGCTGGGGTTCTAAGGTTATTTGCACATAAGTGAATATAATGAACCCAACTGGAATTGAAACTCAGCTCCTCAAATTCTAATTTTGAACTATTATCCATTACACCATCCACACATCCACGTTTACAGCACCTGTTATTCGCAAGTGGTCAGCCATCTAGGTACTGTCCAGGCACAACATTGCTTAACTTCAGTTATCGTACAAAAACCAGTGTTTCAATGTGGTATAGCAATACGCTAAGCAGTAGAAAATAAGAACAAGATGAGATATCCTTTCACACGGACAGTGGAATGAGAACAATCTACCCCCATAGGTTTCAGTTCAAAATTCCCAGAAGGTTACCCAGAGGGATAGACAACAACCAAAATGCAAATAATGGAAATTCTCATGCCAGAAATTCAGACAAACATTATGGACTGTTAATCATAATGAATTTTAAAATACTCTTTTCAAGATGGTAATCATTTGAAATAAAATTAACGAATTACTGAATTAAATAATTAAATAATATATGATTACTTATTTATTATTTAAATTCAGATTAATGTCCTCATCTTTGTTGTCACGTTTCAGTCATTGTACCCTCAGGCCTTCACCAAGTGCCTGTCTATCTAGATAGTGGAGTAATTTTGAAATGAACACTTTATTTAATCTACAGAGATACACTGTTTTTGTTCCAATGACCATTTCTTAGGATATCTCATCAATTTATTTAGTTATTACTCTGTGTTTCCACTGACTTTTTAGTCTATACTAATGAACCCAGGGATTGTGCTCATAATTACCATGTCATCAAACTCATACCAGAACAATCTACACCCATATGTATATAATAATAAAACTGTCATCTTGCATGTATGTATGTTTATTTGATACAGCTTAAATGATACATAGTACCCCCAACCAATTCAGGAGCATATTGTACTTTGAACTCCTGCCAATTGCAGTACCAAATTTCATTAAAATTAGACAAGAGGTTCTTCAGATGGGACATTTTTTTCTGCTTTTACAGCATTTTTAATAGGAAATTCAGTATTTATTCACAATACACATTCTTATATCAATCTGCATATATAAACAAACACTAGCATATTATATTCCAACTATTATTATTATTATGTGTGTGAAAAATAAACATTAAAAGTACATAACATTATCAGATAAATTTAAATATACGAAAAGGTTATGTGGGTGTGCCATTGTAAAATGTAATCTGTATGCCTAGAAAATTGTCTCATATGATGACATTGGTGATAAATAAATAGTTGCATGCTGGTTTGCCGCTGTTCCATATTTTGAAATAAACACAAGGAAGAAACATGTATAATAAAAAATATAATTATTATTAACCTCTCAATAAAAAAAAAATCAGCAACAACATAATACTAATAATATGAATCTCCCTAAACAAACAATAGATATATATTTTTTTTTTTTTTTTATGGCCTTCACATTTGAAAATAATATGGTAAATACTAAAATTGGTATAAATGTCACCCTGGGGCTACTATTAATTGAATCAAAATGCCTTTGATGTGATAGCAGTTTGCAATGCCATTCTAAAATAAAGAAAGTTGTTCCTACATTTAAGTGGAATGTCTTCCCCTTCTGACAAATTAATTGTTATTCATGGTATCTATATATGAATTGTTAAATCTATTAAATAAGATATATTAATAATTTTGAAAGTTTTTTTTTTTTGTCTGTGTATCAGGGACTGTATTTTTTTCAAGTTTCTTTCCATTTATTGCATTTGATCTAATATTATACAATGTGAGTCATAATAATTATTAAAATATGTGTAGTTAATTAAAAAATTGATAATACTGTTACTGCATCATTTTGTATCATGGATTGCTTTTAAAAGGAATCCAAAGGGTTTAAGGGGGGTCTAGTATTAAATAAAAAGTCCCGTTTAAACCTCTAGACCAGAGGGCACAATAGTTGAAACATTGTGATAACAACAAAGATGAGGATATTAATCTGAATGTAAATAATGATAACTCCTCATTCGAGAAAATTAGATAGAAATTACTTATTGATTATTGCAAATCATTTAAGTCTTTTTAGTGACTCACAAAATTTAGGGAAGCAAATTATTGAGTCCAAATGCATTACACTGTGGAAGAAAATTTTATAATCCTGCTAATCCTTAAATATAAAGACACGATTTTATGGATTGCATTAAAAATTTATAGAAATTTATGCTGAACTTCAAGGCTCAAAGATAAACAGATTGATTTCAGAGAACTCATTTATTCTCCAAGTCATAAAAAAACATGTTATATTGATTGAAAAGGAAGCAATCATAATCAGACAATCACATATGCACAAGGGAGTGCTGAAAAGGCCTCACCCAACCCAAATCAAACAAAAACATAAAAATTCTTGGTTAGAATAAGAACTTTTCAGCACCTTCTTGTAATGTTCTTAAAATTCATTATTTGGCTTTGAAGCACTTCTCAAATACATTTAAATAAAATTTGTAATTTTACAAAATAAATTAAGTCCAGCAATTATTATTCTCAATTTACTTAAATTCAAATGTTCATAGATATAGCTTAAAAGAAGGCTCAATACCAAGTGTAGAACAATAGTTATTTATTATAAAGATGTTACATACAGACAAACAAGTACTCACGACAAAGATGCATCTCGACAGGTGAAGAACAAAGATGGTTACCATCGTTGTTGTCACCAGTCAAGATGCGTTCAAATCACAAACAAAAATGCATCTTTGTCGTGAGTATTTGTTTGTCTGTATGTAACATCTTATATATATATATATATATATATATATATATATATATATATAAAAAAAAATGTGAAAAAACAATCAATTTTACTGATAACTTATTTTCAATATTTTTACAGATAATCAAATCATATATATATATGTAGAAATTTTGAAAAACAAACAAAAATCCATAAATGTAGTTAAAATGAAAATTAAATGAAAAATGAAATTAAAATTGTTTGTTTTTCAAAATTTCTACATTCTGTCGGATTTTATCCATTTACACATGCTTATATATATATATATATATATATATATAATTTATAACATAAATATGCTATAAAATCACCAGAAAAATAGCCATTTTGTTTCAACACCCCTGGTGTCTTATCAAGTGATGATGTTGAATATAAATAAATGGTTTTAAAAGTTTCAAATGAATTAACAATCCTTCGCAAGTGGAAAATGCTGTTACAAAAGCTAGAATGACCAATCAAAACACAAGCATAGGAAAATTCAAAAAGCTTGACAATGAAGTCATGTTATAATAGCTATTCAAATCTTTAAAATGCGGATGATATTAAAAAATAATTTATTCTAACCAACAATTATTAAATTATATGATAAAACCCGATATTAAAATTAAAAACTGCCAATTTTAAAATCCAAATTTAAACACTATTAAGTTTAAAAATTATAAAATTACTGAGGAGAAAAGAAGAAATACATATGTTATTCAATTTATTTCTTCGTTGAAATTACGTTACGTTAGAACAGACACTTCGTCATCCGGTCATCCGACAATATATGTATACATTTTAATCCCAAGTGTGTGAATGGGGTCTTAAACTCATGTGTAAAACAACACAAACACAATCAGATTATAATACATAAGCACCCAGACATATTTTCCATACCTAAACATACACACAAACAATCTCAAATATAATAGGTGTCAAAACACACATATATACATCCACAAACATACATATATATACTTACATATGAACATATACATAAATATACCTATCTATAATAACAAGTACACAGATATACGTACATACACATAAATACAACATTCAACCAAATACATATATAAACGTGCATACATATACAAACATAAACATACATCAATATACATACACACCAATATACATGTACCCTAACATACATATATAAACACATTCATACAAACAGAAATATACATAAATATAAATTTAGATACACAACAGGACACACACATTATATATATATATATATATATATATATATATATATATATATATATACACACATACACACATATACATAATATTTTTAACCTCTTCTCATCTTTTTTTACCTACTTAATATATATATATATATATATATATATATATATATATATATATATATATATAAAAATATAATAAAAAGGCTTAAACACTAATATTACATGGTCATATTCCTTTTTCATATGTATGTATATTTTCCACTAATATCTATATATATATATATATATATATATATATATATATATATATATATATATACACACACTTATATACAAAACACATACATTCAGCAGTACAAACACACAAATAAATATATACACACATACACAAACACGAATAACATTATGCAAGTATACAATACACATTTATATCGTCAGGATGACCATCAGGCAATAAAAGTAATAATCTATTAAACATACAGCGACATATCATTATCATTTAAAGTATACTACTCCTACAGTAAGTTAAAATTATAACGGTGTTTACAATTAACTGTTAGTTCATATCTTTGATTTAAGAGATCAGCCTTGTTTTTAAATCTAATAATTTCAAATTTTTCGTTAAGACATAGGTAACATGGGGCATATAGGGAGTTACATGTCTGGGCTTTCTTAATCAATCTCCATTTAACTGTAGGTGTTTTGTTCTTTTCTTTTAGATTCCAAAAATTGTTGGATAATGAAGTCATGTACCTATAGTCACTGTTATTAAAAGATTGCATATGCCCCTGCTAGCGTTCCTTGAAGGTTTTCATGGTGCTACCAATGTAAAAAATTTTTATATTTGGATTTTCAGTTGAGATTGTATTAAGATAGACTACAGAACTAATCCTAAAGTTATTTTGTAGTGGACAATTATTAGGATTCCTACAATTACATAAGTTGTTATTCGTGTTATTATATTTAGTATTGCTGTTAGTAACCTGTTGAGTAATCAAGCTTTTTGAGTCCCTATACTTATTAAAGACTATGTTGTTATGTTTTTTAATTATTTTCTCCAGGTTATCAGCACAACTATAGCTTAATTTAAGAGTATTATGATTAAATATTTTACTAAGTGGGTTAGTTTCAGGGTTGGGGAAATGTTTCTTGATGAGGTTTAGAAATATACGTCCTAATTTAGTTTTAACCTTTATATTGAAAGAGGGAGTGAACCAGATGATCTTTCTAGATCTTCTTTTCTTATTATGGTTGCAATTAACAGGGTTTTTATATTGAA